TCTTCTTAACGAAATTCATTTTTATCAATGATAAAGATGTATTCGTAAAGATTGTCAATTTTTTTTTTTTTTTGATTCAAAACAGAGATTCCAATGTTTTTTTTTTTTTTTGACAAAAGTTGTTTAAGGGTTATTATTTTGGGAATAATGATGATGATGATGACACAAAAATACGAATATCTGTTTCTCTTTTTTTTGCTATTCAAAAGAAAGTTTTTCTTTTTTGCTGTAGAAATTTCCATCTACATAATGATGATGATGATGTTTTTTCGATTTTCAAAATTCCAACGAATTCAAATGTCTATTATCCATCATGATCTTTGGAAAAAAGTTTTTGATGATGATGCCTTTTGGCAAAAATTTTGGAATCAATGTTTTTTTTCATTTAAGTTTTCCAAAAGAAAAAAGAATTCATTTTTTCAGAGCTAATCGTTATTCGATCTGTTGTTTGCTTTTTCTGTTTTCCAATCGATTTTTCATTCGTTAGGCTACACGCGATAACAAAAAAAATCTAAAAAAAAAATATCAAATTTCCATGCATGATCGATTCATATTTCCCATATATACAAGAATCACAAATCAAAAAGCAAAATAAGATTTTACTGTTTGCTGGTTGGTTGTTCATTCTGTTTGTTTCTTCTTTTCCCCGCTGCTTTTCCCACATTCTGTAATTAAATTGTAATCATCATCATCATTCGAATATTGGTTATTGAAAATAATGATCATCATTATTATTTGGTTTGTCCAAAAAATCATTTCACCTTTCTTGTTTTCTTCATTTTCCCAAAAAATGATTCATACATTGATGATTCATTTCATCAACACACACAATTATTTTCCAATTTCATCATCATCATCATAATTTGAATTTCAACAAGCATAACATTATCATCACAAGGAAATAAATAAATTTATAGACGTCTTGTGTGTGTGTCGTGTGTGTGTATGTGTTTTTTTATTTCGTTTTTGCTTTGTTTTGAGAAATTCAACATCTGTATTCTTGCTTTGCTTTGCATCATCATAGAGAATTCCATATATTTGAAAAAAAACAAAGTTCTTGAAACAGCTTGGAAAAACTGTATGACTGAATGAATGAATGAATGAAGATGTGAATTGGGAGGAAAGAAAACAACATTCACAAGTTGTCGGTTGTTGAAATGATGATGATGATAATAATGATATTATGAAAAACAAATATTCACAAATCACATACATCAAAAACACACACACACACACTTATCATGAAGAAAAAGAAAAAAAAACATAACGGAAACTTGGATGGTGTTCTCTCTCTATTTAAGACTATAGTGAAAAAAAACTATGAAAAAAAAAATGAAAATTTCATACTGAATAACAACAACAACGACGACGAAAGACAAACATAAACTTTTTTTTTTTTTGATAAAATAAATATTATGAATGTGAATGAATTCGTTTGCATAACATTTACTTTTTCTTCTCTCTCTCTCATCAACCCGAAGCCCATACCCGACAAACAGATTTTTTTTAAACAAAAAAAAACGTGACAAGTGAAGTGAAGTAAAGTTTCTCGTAACATTCAGATTCATGAAATTTTTAATTTCTTTTCTTTTTTGTTTAATTTTTTGATTTTTTTTAAAATGAAAATGTTTTTTGATGAATGTCACATTGATGCGAATGGTTTTTCAATGATTATTCAATGATTTTTCTTTTGCATAATCGATTCATTTGCATAAAACAAAACAAACAAAGAAAATGTTTAGTGATCGGTTTGATTGAGCAGATGTTTGATTAGATTTTTTGTTTTTGTTTTGTTTTGTCATGTTTTTTAATTATTCACCTTTTTTAATTATTCATTTCAATTGAATTTACCTTTTGATTTACCTGTGTGTGTTTGTCAATGTAATTCTTAATTTTAGGTTAGGTTTTTTTTTGAATTTGTAATTGTTGTTATTGTTGCTAATTGCTTCGACAACAACAACAACAGCAAATAGAAAAAAAATGCCTCCCTGAATGATAATCAAGGAGTAAAAATTATTTCCAAAAATCTAATTAAACATTTGAATCACGTCATCATCATCAACAGCACAGAATACGTGTGTGTACCAAACCTGAATTCTGTTGCTGTGTTAAGTGTCTGTTAAATTCTATTTATAAATTTTACCCGAGTTTTGGTTACCCGGGTTCGGTTTGGCTTTTGTTTGCTTTCCTTTTCTTTTCAATGATGATCATTGAATATTAAAAAAAATGAAAAACAAGTTTCCACACACACAAAAAGTCAAGTGCATACAGAATGTCTTTGATTTTGTTTCTTTCCATTTACTTTCTCCCCCCTTTCTTTCGTCTTTCTGGAATATTCATCATTTTTTTTTTGTTGTTGTAAAATTTGTGTTTTTTTCAAATTGTATTGATTGGTAGTTTGTAACAACTACTAAATTCCATTACAGTAATATAATGATAATAACCCTTTTTTTTGCCACATCCATAATCTCATTACAAATTAGTAATTTTTTGTAAAATAATAATAATTTTTTATCGTTTTTGTTGTTTCGAAATTTGATACAGTTTGAGTAAAATTGTCCATTTACAAAATGTTAATGACGTAACCAAAAGTCAATTTTCCAAACAAAAACTTGTCAATTTCGATTTGTTGGGTTGATTTTTTGTTTTTTTGTTTAAACATTATAATTTTCCATGAAAATAATGATGATGATGATCATCAATAATGCGACTTGGCTTCCCATATAATTATCATTATTTGAATTTTTATCCCTTGGTTTTTTCTCTCTCCATTTTTTTGGTGGTGGGGGGTTAATGTCGATTTTGTTCGGGTTTTTTAGTAGCGTGAAATTTTGGAACCAAATGAAAATTGTTGGAGAAATGTTTTTCCCCGGTCACATTTGGGAATTTGGAAAAAAAATTTTTTTTATTGTCGTCGATTATCGATAATCGAGAGAGAGAGAGAGAGAAAGAAAATCAAATCAAAGCAATCATCGAATGTCAAATGCACATTTTCATTTCGTAATTTATTATTATTATTATGATTTTTTCATAAATTTTATAGTTGTTTTTTAATTTGAATTTTTGTAACTTTCCAAAAACTTTGATTTTACCTTTTGATATGGAAATCATATGGGAAAGTTTTTTCCCCCTTTCTTCTGCTAATGGAAGCATATTTACATTATTAGCCATTGTCCAGTTTGTGATGACTGTGTTTTGTTCAAAATCAACTTGTAATGCTACTTTTATCTACAAAACAACAAAGAAACTTTATGGAAATGGCTAAAATGATCATTTTTATTTTTGACAATGACCATTCGATGTTATAAAATGTGTTAATGGCCTTTTTGCATATATAAAAAACAACGGTTTTTTTAAAAAGAAACATCTTATTATACTTTACTTTCGTTTTCCTTGGAGACTAATCTCTACACACACACACACAGAGAGAGAGAGAGAGAGAGAGAGAGAATATTCTTGTTTTGTTGTTCGAAATACGATCCAATTATTTTGTTTCATTCTGTGTTTGGTATATGATTGTCGTTGGCCAGGGAGAGAGAGAGGTAGATAAAAATGACCGAATTCTTCTGTTTTCTGTATTTCAGGTTGTNATTTTCATTTTGATTCGAAATGAAAAAGTTTGTTTTTTTGTTTTCATGTTCAAAGATGTTGTAACAATGTTTTTTTTTCAAATGATGATTGTCTGTTAGTATTTAATGATCAACACAGATTAAAAACAACTATTTTATTTTATTTATAAAAACAAATCATCTCATCATTAAAATAACATCACATCTAATAAATAATAAAAACAAATGAACAACTGACATTAATCAATTTATGTCTTTTATACAAACATCTAATGCCTGATTAGTTTGACCTTGACTCAAGTCATAGTCTCCAACACACCCCCGTTAATCAGGCCACCGTTTGATACTGGTTTTGTCAATCCATCTGCAAGTTGATTGTTAGTTCCGCAGTGGAATATTTCAATATTTTTCAATTTTTCAATCAAAAATTTGCAATCAATATCAATATGTTTAAGTTTTTTGTTCTTGCTGGAATAAATGAAATCTATTGTTGATAGTCTCCAACATTGTCCATTGAATGTTCGTTTTTTTTCGGGTGAAAACCCAAGTCCCTATAGCAAATAGGTTGTTGTTGTTGTTGTTGGATGAATAATGTGACCAAAACAGGAATTTCCGGTTACGGAAATCAATGCTGTGTTTTTTTTCACATTCATCCAATTGATATTCATCATTCGAAGAAAGTTTTTTCGAAAATGAAATTGAGTAGAACTGATCATTACAGAGATGTTTCAAACTACTACCATAAATTCTAAAGAATTCAAAAAATTAATTCAATTTATTGCCTTTTTTTTCATTCGGTTGTTGTTGTTGTTCGGAAATAGTAAAGGTATTTTTTTTACCATTTTTTAATGATATCTATTAATAACTCTCTCTGTGTATGTGTGTGTGTGGGCGAATCAATAAAAACTTTTTATCAAGAAAATTTGATTACTGATTTTGTTTCGTTTAGTTTTTGGTTATAATGATCGTTTCTGGATAAATATATGGACTTTGGATGATGATGAGCATAGTGAAAAACAAACAAAAAACAGAAAAAAAAACGAAATCGAGAAATGTTGGCTTTTCCTCATTAAATCCTCTGTTAGTGTCTATATGTATGTGTATCGTTTGATTGAATCAAATTGAATGTTGCCTTTTGAAAAATTTGATCCAAAAAGAAAAAACGAAGCACATCTTGGTTAAAATTGTTTATCATTGATTTTTTTTATATTTTTCGGACATTTCAGGTTCTGTTGTTGCCAATAATTCCATATTGACCGACTGACTGACTTGACTGACTTGACTGATCTGCTTGGTTGTTCTTGTTATTCTGGTTTCACTTTTGTTGGATCGTTTTTTTTCTTCTCGATATAGCGCATGCTCGCTTCAATTGATGGTGATGGTGGTGGTGGTGTGAATTGCAGAATTCACGAAAAAAAGAATCAGTATTGGTTTAGATTCCAGAATGACAACACACACCAAATACCCATATACACATAATGATCATTATGGTTTTCAGTGAAAGTGTGTGTGTGTGTTTTTCATGTTTTTCAACTACGGTTGATTCTGGTTAATCCAACTTTCGAAACGGACAAAAAAAATCAATCATTCATTCATCCTTCTTCTGTTTTCACTATTGATGAATGCTGGGTAAGTGTTGTGTGTGTTTAAAATATGATTGATTTTCTTCATACAGCAAACATCGTTATTCACCCGATATAATCATTATTGAATATTACCCAATTTTGAATAATAAAAAATCCTCCAATATGCACCGAAACACCATAACCAGAAAAGTGAAAAATTCAATTGAAATATTATTTATAGTTTTTTTTTCGTTTGTTTGTTTGTTTGTTGTTTGGATCGAAATAGTTGAAAAATGACATGAAATTTAAATTATCGCCATATTTTATTTTATTTTTTTTTGTTGAAAGAAAGTTTTTCAATGTTTTTTTGCGAAAGTTTTCCGAAAACTATTCACACATATAATCTCTTATGTGGATTTTTTTTTTTGAATAGTCGATTCGTCCATGATGAATGACCAACAACAGATGAATAGATAGATAAGATGTTTTCAGTGTTTTTCTCTCGAACAACTTCTTTCTGACTTTATTGAGTGATTTTTTAAAATGTACCTTTTTTCACTTGTTATGGTAAAAAGCAATTTTCCAAGAAAACTTGTCCAACCCTCTTTCTTTTTTTCCCGAGAAAATTTCTTTTCTGTTTCCGTTTTTTTTTTTGAAAAAAGTTTTTCTCGATTCCGTCAAAACAGATAATGATTAATTCTGTTCATATACGGATCAAGTGAAAATGGAGCAAAATTATTTTCTAATTTCCGTTTTTTACGTTTTTGAAAAATCATATTTTAATTTCCTTTTTATTTTCCCCAATCAATTTGATTGATTTCCGTATTTTTTTTTTAATCAAACCGGCAATCAATCAATCAATCAATGATGAAAATTTGTCAAAAAAATTAATGAAAATTGTCATGCATCTCTAATGATTTTTTAAAAAAACCGATGCGCATGCGAATCACATAATTTTGATTTTGATGATTATGAAATTCATTCAGTTTGATTTGAATTTTTTTCCATATTTAGATGAATAAGTTTCAGTGAATCGATTTCAAAATCAAATGAAAAACTTTGTTTTTCACTTGGATGTTGAAAAAATGTAATCAAAAGAGAAGAGAAATTCAAATTTCCATTTTTCAACTTTAACTTTTTTTTTATATGAAGAATTTTTCCGGAAAAAATATTTCTGGAAACATTGATTTTTGTGTGTATGTGTGATAAGAATGTCAGTGGTGATGTGAAACAAAAAAAAATGTCATTTTTTTCTCAGGTGAAAATTTAAAAACAAAACAAAACAAAAAATGTTTCAATTGAAAATAATAATGATTAGAAGAAAATTATTCATCAACATTATTATCATTATCATAATGGTTATCATTTTGATACATCATGTTCATCAAGCATCATTAACAACAACAACAACAACAACCTCTTCATCAAAGTCACCATCATCAACAACAACAACCACAAATGTGATTATCATCAATGATCAATCATCATTAGTAGTATTGGATAATGATTTATTGAATCGATATAATAATGATGATAAAATTCTAGCGACTGATCATGCGCACATTGATAATTGGAATAATTATCTGTCATCATCATCATTATCATTATTATCACAATTACCAAGCTCAAATCATCATCATCATAATCGTAATCGTAATGATAAATTTGATGAAAATCTTATCATTACTACTAATAGTAATGTTGACGATGATCAAATGAATCCATCCATCAATTTAACATCATCATCATCCTCATCTTCGATTTTATTATTCAATCAGGATAATAATAATAATAATGTTTTTCGTCAAAATGATGATGCATATGATGATGATGATGATGATGAAGTTTTCATTGCATCAACCCATTCGACAACATCGACAAACGATAATGATGATGATGATTTATGGTCTCGTTCACATTCGGAAATTATTTTCCGTTTGATTGGTGCAATTATTTGTGTTGCATTGATTATTGTAACTATTGTTGGTAATGTATTGGTTATTATTGTTGTTGTACGTTTTCATCGTATGCGTACTGTTACAAATATACTTCTTGCAAGGTAAGTTTTTTTGTTTTGTTTATTTATTTCAACTTTTTTTTGTATGTTATGTGCAAAAAAAAGTGCAAAAAAAATCAACCTGAACAACCTGTTTTTGTTGTTAACCTAACCTCACTTGACTATGAATCATAGTCATAGTCATAGTCATCAACCTAACCTCACTGAACTATGAATCATAGTCATAG